TGATGAATAACTTGAATATTTTGCGGAGTGTAAATAAACGATAAAAGAGATATAGCTTAAAAAAAGTATAGGAGTTTTATTCGTCCCTATAAATATTAACTACTCCTACAAAAAATAATTATACTCTCTATTACTATAACGAATATTAGTTTCTTTTATTTAGAAATAAACTTCAATGAAATGGGGTATGTCTACTGTTAGACAATAATAATAATAGTACTTCTTGTAGTATTGGTTATGGTAGTGTTTCATTATTAGTCAGCTTCTTAATCCTATTTGTGGTAGATGTTGTATGTTAGTTAGTTTCCATTCTCTACTCCTATTTGTGTTAGGAGTCTCTCCTATATATACTCTATCATGTACTTCATAATTCAATGAGCAATATTATTATTCCAACATCTATATTATTTCTAATTAAATTGCGATTATTACCAAAAAAAATCATTTTTTATTCCGTATTTAAAAATTAATCTTTTTTTAGTACCAAACAAAATCCGCATGAAAATTTGTGGGTTCGATGAGTATAACCAAGCATTAAAGCAACCATTTAATTTCATCACTTTTCATATTTAAAAAAGTTAAAAATATAAAAGAGCCCTATACACTACCAATTTTTTTAACAACCTCTTTCAAGCAAAGATAGCTGGTTTTTTTTCCTGTTATGGTTTTCATTAAATATTTATACTTTAAATTATTTCAAAATTAATTACCACGCATTAAAAATAAATATTTAAAAACTATTTTAAAATCAATTATTTTGGACGGAGGAGGGAGTATATTATGAGTTTAAATTAACTGTTCAAAAAAGTTATAGTAAGTTGGCGAGTTAGCAATACACCTCCACTTCTATAATAAAAGTACAAAGTACTCCCTCCTTTTGGCACACCATCCAAAGCACTTCTTTAATCCATTTTATCTTGTAATTTGTATATTAAAAACTTATACAAATTATATATTAATAATCTATATGTTAAGACGAATCAAATAAGATCACACATGACTATTTTTAGACTTACACATTAAGAGAATTTGATGAGTCAAAGTGCTTAGATGAACAGTTCCAAAAGTCAAATGTGGACAAAGACAATGGGACAGAGGTAGTATGAAATAAGTGGAATCTGATTTGGCGCGGAACTAAATGAGAAAGATGATGCGATAAAATAGGATAAAGGGTCGGGATGCGTACCATCCACCCTTATGGTCCGTTTGCTACACGAAATTGACCAAATTAGAATTAAATTGAGAGTACCAATTCCAAATCTATACCCTTGTGGATTTGAGTTTTCCATTTTCAATTCATTTTTGGCAGTATCAATTTCAAATCTACATATTTTTGTGTTATCAAACAGTAGATTTTAGAATTGTTGTCCTCAATTCTAATTCCATAATTTGAATTCTGTATACCAAACGGAATCTTAGATTATGTGTGTTTGATACGAATCTTGATAGGAAAGAGCTCGAGCATCTTAAAGCTATAAGAAAAAGAGAGGAAAAGATAATAAGAAACTTTAAGTGTTTCTGATATCGCAAAAAAAGATCGAGAATAGTTCTTATTTCACTTTACAACTAGATATTCTAAGGGGTATATCTTTATTTATAGATGCAAGAGGTTCTCGATAATGACATTAAATCTCAATGTCATGGGATGACACTAGCCTTATTTGCAAAACCATAGGTGTACAACATAGTTTGTATGTAGACTTGATGGTTCTCACCCCCCTAACCCTCTGAGTAAATCATTCACACAGTCTGATTCGAATCAAACACCATACACCATTTTCTTAAACGGCATTTCCAGTTTTATCTCACTTTGGGGGTCAAAAAACTGGTTTCGAAGTCAATTAAAATTGAGGGTGCAATTCAGAAAGTTCGGAGGTGGATTCGGCTTGGGATGGAAGATTATTACGGCCCAACGATAACAACCATCAATTTTACGAATCAGGCACCATAAAAGTTGTAATTGGGATCAATGTTCTTAGATGACATTAAAGACCAATATCGTGAGAAATGAAATGACTAAATTATTGATTAAGCATGTCGATCACTTTCTTTAATTAGTTATTTTGGCAAGGCTTCGTTGAGACTCAAAATGAGTCCCAACGGATGACACTACAGGCTATAGTGCTCCGTATTCAAAACGAGTAAAGTGCATTGTTTACCCGCGTATTCTTTAGAAATTGCATGCTCTACTCTTGAACTTTAAAAAGTGAATCGTTTACCCTTGAACTCTTTGAAAATTGCACGATTTACCGCTACATACTAAAAAATACATCGAATACCCTTGAACAAATTAAACCGTTATATCGTTGGTCCTAAACTATTAGATAGGGAGTGTGTTGCTTCCACGCACAAGAATTGCGAATATGATTCATCTGGTCCTTGTGAATTCTCGAAAGTACCTTTCTCCAAAATTGTTGTCTTTATTTAAATGTTCAGGAGTAGACAGTACAATTTTTGAAGAGTTCAAAGGTATTTGGTGTAAATTTTTTTGTTCAGGGGTAAACTGTGCAATTTTTGAAGAATTTAGGTGTATTTGGTGCACTTTTTAATGTTTAGGGGTAAACCGTGCAATTTTCAAATTCGGGGGTAAACGGTGCACTTTTCTCTATTCAAAACTAATGGCTCCTTTCCCCATCTCTGGTAAACTCCCAACCTTGGCTCAACCCAATCACACCCCGTCATTTTTATTTTAAAATTTTGTTGATTTTGAAATCAATTTTTTTTTCAATGATTGAGTAGATAAATAAGACATACGGAGTACTCGGACATGTAATTCAATGTAGATAAATTCGCGTTTGAGGTGGTATGTTAAAACTTTAGATATATTATGTTATTGTATATTCATCATACATCCTCCGTCCCACTATATTTGTCCACTTTCATTTTTGCACATCATCCAATACACTTCTTTAATCTATTTTATTTTATAATTTGTATATTAAAAAATTATAGAAATTATATATTAATAATCTATATGTTAAGACAAATCAAACAAGATCACACGTGACTATATTTAGGCTTACACATTGAAAGAATTTGATGAGTCAAAGTGCTTAGATGAACAGTTCCAAAAGTCAAAAGTGGACGAATATAGCGGGACGGAGAGAGTATGTAATTTAAATACAATATTAGTACTCCCTCCGTCCGCCTAAGATGTTCTCATTTTGACTTTTGGTGGTTTTTAGGGAGAGTTGAAAAAAGGTGAAAATTTACCATAATATCCTTAATGAAAAGTGGGTGGAGTGTATTAAATGAGGTGGGTTAGGTGTAATAAATAAAGTAAGTGGGGATAGTTGTGGTATTTTACTTGTTAAAAAATAAAATGAGAAGATCTATTGTAGACAAAGAAAAATGACTATTGGAAAGATCTATAGGGGACAGAGGGAGTATTTTTTAAAAAAATTAGAAAGAGTTGAAAGAAAATAAAAGAAGTTGGAAAACGTTAGAAGTTAATTTTTCAGAATCAAATGATGAACAGATCTTTAGTGGAATTGCCACTAGATAACACCGAAACGCTACCAAAATATATAACCATTTCACCTCTAATTTTATAAATTTTTTTGACGTGTTTTAAATATGTAACTTTTATATTTAATTCATACCGTTTTTTCATATAAAATATTACCTCCGTCCCAGAGTATTTATTCACTTTCATTTTTACACACTATCCAATACACTTCTTTAATCAATTTTATCTTATAATTTGTATATTAAAAAATTATAGAAATTATATATTAATAATCTATGTGTTAAGACAAATCAAACAAGATCACACATGACTATATTTAGGCTTACACATTGAGAGAATTTGATGAGTTAAAGTATTTGGATGAATAATTCTAAAAGTCAAAACTGGATGAATACTCTAGGACGGGGGAGAGTAATACCAAAATAATTTTGGGTAGATAGAGAAAAACGGGGATTTGTAGTTAACAAGGAGTACCTAGCAAGGAAAAGAAGACGCGTTTGATTTACTGTGGTTTACTTTTTTGGGTGCAATAGTATATCCTCTGGTTCCACTTATACTGTGTCTACTTTAATTAATTACCAGATCGAGGGTCCACCCTAGCTAGCTTTAGTTGCTATCTACTCCCTCCGTCCACAAATAAACTTTACATTACGCGTTACGATGTTTGACTGAAGTTATTTTCAAATCATTTTATATGAAAAATGGTGTAGAATTGAAAAATAAAAATTACATATTAAAAAACTATATCAAAGGATCTACAAAACTAGAGGTGACATGACTATATTATTTTATCAAATGGGTGACGAAAATATGCCAACAAAGTGAATAAAGTTTGACCCTGTGAATAGTGAACGTAAAGTTTATTTGTGGACGGAGGGAGTATCTTTCTTCAATTCTTTCGTTCTTCTTCTTCTTATGCACACTCGACTTTGTGGCAGCTAGCTGCACTACTTTGCACGTACGTACTACTACCATTCCACCACACATCGCTATACCACCAAGCCAACAAAATATCATTATATTCCATTTCAGATTTTTACTCATGAAAGTGACAAGGCATGTTCCTAGCTAAGCTTCTCACCAATCCTTGACCCACATGACACCCATAATCAAAGGTAATTCTCTAGTTTCACTCTTTTAACACCAATCTGCGATCAAAATCCAAGTTAACTTGTAAATTTTTGACAAGTCTGATCAGGAATGAACTCATCATTTTTCATAAACAAACGTAATAAGCATAATTGACCGTGTGCTTGCCGGGAGTAAGGGAGTTTCTAGCCGGTTGGGCATGGAAATGAGAAGGTCGTCGCCGGTGTCCGACGTGATCAATATGCCACACCTTTCATGACAATCTCTTTAGAGTTCAGAAAGTGAATGTGCGGCACGAAAAATAACAGTATGTGCGTGTTTATGCAAATCATGGTAACCCAAAATATTGAGATTTATTATTTTTACCATGTCTCAATGAAATATGAATAGATTGAAAATTGTAAATTAAACTACAATCAATTGAAATATGGCCAAAATTTAAAGAAATACTCTCTGTTTTTTTTTTTTGGAATTGGAATTCATAGGCAAACAACAAATGTTGAGGCAAAACTGGATGACACAAACCCCCCATTCACCGGCTGGCACCAATAATGAATCCCCCAAGAGAGAGAGAAAAAAAAACACGAATAAAATAAGTGACGGAATTGAAGTGGAAACGGCCGTTTCCCCGTCCGTCCGTCCAGCTAGAAAAAAATATTACCCATTTACCCTCGGATTTAATTCGGAAGCTATATCTAAAAACTCCGAATATTTACAGTACAAAGTGACCACGACCCACCGTCGTGATCTTTTCTTATTCCGGAATTGCCCTCAAGTTCGCCGCGAACTTCCCTGACCTCCTCCTGCCACCTCCGTTACCGTTACTTCTTCCACCGTTGGTCAACCCTCCAGCGATGACTGACCTATCCGCCGCCGCCGACTTGGATTCCTTCTCGACGGGGAAATCTAATACGCCTTTCCGGCGACACCCGCATTTCTTCTCGCAGCCACTACCCAAGCTCTTGGTCAAGGCGGAGCTAGCTTTGACGGCCAATGCGGCCATTTCCTCGGCCTGGAGGCGGCGCTTTAGGCGGCAGAGCGGGAGAGCGAAGTAGAGCTGTCCGGGCTGGAGCTCCTCGTCTCCGGCGAGGGCGGAAACGACGTCGCCGAAGTCCATTTCGTCGGAGTTGCAGATGAAGACGGTGGGGTCCCTCTGTAGGACGTAGGAGGCCTTGACGGGGCAGGAGAACTCCTGCAACCTTCCGTCTTCAAGTATCAACTTCGCCGTCGCCACCGAGGCGGACTCACACGAGGTGCATATACCCATCGTATACCGCCGTAAAACTCGGGGATCGACTCGGTTTTGTAGTGAGTTGAACTCGGTTGCGAACAATGAATCAATCAATGAATGAAAAGTTCTTAAATGATGGAAGCCGATATATGATGGGTGTATATTTATATATATGGAGTGTATAAATTAAAAAAAAATGAATAAATATTGGGTGATTGGTCGAATCGGGAACACAGTAGGTAGAGGGGCAGGAAGCCACGTCAAAACTGTCTTGTAGCGTACGCAGGGAAGGGTAGAAAATGGAAAATGAAAAAAAAATGAATACTACTCTTTTCTTGAATGTTTAATTTTGATTTGTTCAAGTTAAAATTTGCAATTTTTTTACAATAAATTAAATTAAAATGATATTATATATTTATAAAAAAAATCCTAGTAGACTCATTTTACAAATTTTTTTTAAAATATTAGTTTATCTTATTAATACACAGTACATGAAGTATATTTTATTTCATAATATGTCAAATGTTTAAAATAATTGAATGCAAAAAACAACGCTAGACATATACTCATGGATAAAGATTGCGATAAGAATGAACCACATCTCGAAAGGCTTTTCAGAACTCACCAAACAATTATTAGAGAAGAAATAAATTCACGGTGAAAGGTGATTTCTGTCCCTACTACTTGCATAATCTCTATGTGTAAAATTTTACTATCTTTGATAATCATTTGCATTACCAACCGGTCCTTAAAATTGGATGGTCTAGGGTGAAATGAAAAAAGGTCCTAAAGTCTTTGTCATTAATGACTTAAAGAATTAAAGTGAACAAAGTCATTATATTTAAATGACAATTAACATAATAGCATTATAACTAAATAAATAAATGACAAAATCATTGTAAAGGATTTATATCTACCTACCTCCTAAAACCAGTTACTTCCTGTTTCTTCCAGTTCTTTTTATTTCTTCATGTTTCTTTCAGTTCCTTCACGTTTTTTCCAACTATTCTCATTTCCTTCAAACTCTTTCTACTTCCAACTAATTACTCTAAAAACGATATATATTTAATGTGATTATTATTATTATTATTATTATTATTATTTTTATTACTATTATTATTATTATTATTATAGTTATGTTCAAAACTATAGTTTATAAATTAAATTATTTATTTCATTTCACTATTTTTACGATTCACACTCATTATTTTTTTTCAATTTTTTAATATGAATAAGACAATTTTTGTATATAAATCTACAAGATAAAGCAGGAAAACATCAATATTTTAAACTATATTAAAAAATTATAAAATAGTTACATAGAATGATTTATTCATCTAACTTTATACTCCATATAAGACTCCTCACCTTTCCCTTTTTTACTCAAATTTTTCTCATTTGCTTATTTTAATAAAAAAAATTTGAAAGTCAAAATAGTTTAAAGAAAAAGAGTAAAATAGGAGTAAAACATTAAAGATGTGAAAAAAGTCATATGTCATTATTCCAAAAATAGGAGTTATAATAAAAATAAAATGTCAATCATGAAAAAAAGGTTTGATTACATTATGTAACATGTTTGATATTTAAAACAAAATCGTGTAATATATAAAACTAATTACAAATATATTATTTATAATAGATATTGCATAAATAAATTGAGGTGCAATGTAACCACAATAACTTTTTAAAATTTAACATTTTGGTATTTATGCTAATTTTATATTATAATTATTTTTTCTGCAAAAGCAGTTTTTTTGTATGAAAAATAAAAATGCTTTTTTATCTTAAAAGAATTCATTAAGATAGTGTGATGATGATAATAATAATAATAATAATAATAATAATAATTTATAACAACAAGAATTAAAATGAGAAAAATATAAAAATAAACTAAAATAATTTTAAAGTTTTTTTAAGATTTCCAATTTTTTGATTTTTTTTTCAATATCTTACAGTTTTTTCCAATCTCTTCCAATTTTTTTTGCAGTTTTTTTCCAAAATTGATCTAACTTTTTTTTCAGTTCTAAAAAATCAACTCTAAGTAGTAAGTATATATGTATGTGACTCTTTGTGTATTGGTGTACACTTGGTGGAGCTCAATGTCCTCAAATAGCCAAATGACCCAAGCATAATTCATTAGTTAATTCGGATTTCTTTTTATATGCAAAGTAGTAGCAGTACAATGTTAGTAGTTGCGTCGTTTGGAGCGGTGAGGGACAGACTGCCAGGCTGTATATTGATGGACGACAGCTTGGTGGGCCCTTCTTCAATGTGCGCGCGGGCGCGCTTTTAAGAATGAAGAAAAATTATTGATTTCGACTGTGACCCTTTACTATTTTTGCCATCAAATTTCCGTTCTACTACATACTCCTATGGACTACCTCCTCACTCTCTTCCTTTTTAACTCGGACTACGTACCTTAGGTCTAATCGCGTTAAAAGTTGCCTCATGCAAAATGATAAAACACAAAAGAGTGTGCCTCTTTATATTTCAATATTTTTTTTTCTTGATCGAAGTAATGAGTACAAAGGTAAGTGCTTTTGAATTATACCCCCTCCGTCCCTAAATAATGTTCCACTTTTGACTTTTTGAGGATTTAAGGGAGGGATATTTTTGTGTTGACTTTCCAAAAATACCCTTGATGTGATGTGTTAAAGTAAGATGTGATAGGTAGATTATTAGTAAAAAGGTATGATGTGATAGGTAGGGTATAAAAAAGTAAGGGGTAAAAAGGAGTTTTTAAGGGAAAAGAGAACTTTATTTAGGGACAAAGAAAAAACGAAAGAGAAACTTTATTTAGGGACGGAGGGAGTATTAAAAATCTCTTGAAACAAATTCGGTGAATACATCTATTATTTCTAATAGTAAAGTTGAGCATATTGTCGGTCTCTATTCACGGTGGACGATCCTCCGACAGCATGACATCACCGACCGATCTCGACTAGTGTGTCTAACAGCCGCCGTCCATTATCATCTCTTTCTCTCCAAAAAAAACCATGATCTCTCTTTTCTAAAAAATGGGCTGCGTGACCGAAGAATGAGAAAGTCATACTCCCTCCGTGTTGGGATTTTAAGCGCGTAAGATACCGAAAAATATTGAGAACACCAGAAAATTGAGAGAACAAACACAAGAAGAATATATGAGAGAAAAAAATTATATTTCCACTATTTCAGGACAATATACAAAAAACTCTCCCCTGTTTACAAGTGCTAAATACCAGACACTTATAAACAGACTTTTCACACCCTATACCCGGATGTATTTTCCGAGTAACTAAAACCAGTTACTCCCTACACTCACCCACACTCACCAAGACCCCTTGGATTTTCCCGGTGGTATTCTTGTGTAGAATTTCTCCCATATTTCTCTCTCTACCTTGGTGGTGTGTAAAACCCACACATTCCACCTCTTTAACACACCTAATTATATAGGGAATATCCTGCAACAATTCTCCAACCAAGTACAAAATGACAATGCATGGCCCATCAACACCACATCTTCACATACATTATACATGCATGCATGATACCTGTACCTTTTTTCTTTCTTCTTTGTCTTCTTCCTTATTGTTTTATTCTTTTCTTTTGATTATTAATCAATATCCCAACACTCCGTCCTAAAACTTTCTTCCCAATTTGACTTTTCCTCATTTTTAATTTTTGACTTTGACTTCAAATTTTACCCTCCTTAAAAAAGATTTTTTGAAATTTTATTTTTGCAATCATTCATAATATAGAGTTAGAAGATAATTGGTGTAAATACATGATTGTATTAATGTCATTTGTCATCTTTTTTTTCCTAATGGGAAGGTAGTTTTAGGACGGAGAAAAAGAGGAAGTGGGAAGAAAGTTTTAGGACGGAGGGAGTATTTGTTAGTTTTTTTAGAGATCGAAAGCATGGAAAGCAATAAAAAAGCAGACCCCAAAGGTGAAAAAAGAAACTCATTATCCTCACTCCAATCATCAACACTCTCCCCAAGGAAAAACAAAGCAAATGTAATCTTAAGGTTGTTCTTTATGCAATAAAGATCCGAGTCTCTACTTCTAGAAGCTATTCTCACAATACTAACAAAAATAGGTAAAAAAAAAGTGATTAAAATTCAACTTTTTTGACTTTCCCCGTCCCAAAAAGATTGCCACAATATGACTTTTTAGTCAAACTGTGACACCTTTTGACCGCGAATTATAGACAAAATATATGTAGTCATAATTTAAGTTTAATAAAATTCGGTTTATTTCAAAATATAATTTTGGAATATAAAATTTTTATAATATTTAATTTTATTAAAAAATATTTAATTTATCATCAAAGAATGCTACAGTTTAACTAAAAAAGTAAAAATGTTCAATCTTTTAGGAATGAAAATCAAAGTATGAATAAAAAATATAGGGAATATTTTGGTTCTCTACTACTAGTGGCAAAGAAGGCCAATAGTATGAAGTAGTAATAGGCGGTTTTGGGTTGGTGGTCTGGACGATTATAAATATAGGCGTTAACGATATTCTACCATATTTTGCATTGGTGCATGACCATATGTTTTGATTTGGATTTGATTGGAATAAGTTCTAATTCAAATATAGTTATACTTAAAGTTATTTTTGATCTGATCTAAACTTATTTTAATACGGAGTAAAAAAATACGATTTAGAATAAATTGAAGAAAACAAGACCTAAGAATCTCATCTTTCATATAATACAGACTACGTCACTACGATATACAATATAAATCTTTGATATGTGTGAAGGTATGTTATTGACTTATTGTTGCATCCCCACAAAGCTACACCGTGCTGATATGCCATAACCATTCAATATTTAGTTGGTACATTTCCATGAGACGCAATGTATATCATAACCGGTCGTACAGTGTTTCACGTACATCCACGATGAGTGTTTATTTGCGGGTAATGAATGCTCATTTTCGAACAAATAAGTATTCATTATCAATAACTAAATTTCCATTTTTCTAAAATCTAGTTATGCTTAGTTACTCGAGATTAAACATTAAGTTACTAAAAAATGAATATTTATTTACTCAAAAATGAGTACTTGATTATTCTACAATGAGTATTGAGAGGGTTGATGTATTTGCCATTTGGATCGTTCATTTGTTCAGTCACTACATCAAATTTAATTGGGTAATTTACCTAAATAGGATTAAAACATAATGACTTTCTCAATATAGGACCATATGTTTTTATTTCCCAATGTAGGACTGTTAGTCATTATCTATTAGTCATTATTCAACTAAATGTCCAGCATCATTTGGACATTAATTTTCTCATAAGTCATTATTAAGTCCTATTTAGAGAATAAAAAAGTTTAAGTCCTACATTGGGAAATGACTTGTGTTTTAGTCCTATTCAGTGCAAATTTCACAATTTAATTACATCCCCCATACAGCCTAACACGCCAGAGAAACTATTTGGCCCAAACTCTTTTTTAATTCACTACATCAAACTATTTGGCCCAAACTTTTGGGCTTTTTGTTATTGTAAAAAAAAAAAAGTAAATTATATAAAAGGTCCCCAGTTATAGGTCGTTTTACATATTTAGTCCCTGCATATCAAATATTACTAATTTAGTCCTCAATTATTATATTTATTTCCACGAATGGTCCTTTGTTAACATTTCCGTTAAGAACGTGGATAAAATTGTATATTCATACTTCTCTCTCCTCAATTAAGCTTTCTTCATCTTCTCATACTCTTTCCCAAACTCGTCGCTGAGTTTGAAGCTCTTAAACCCAAAATTTAAATGATCGTTCCTCCAGTTAGACAAACAATTGAGAGAAGAGTGATGATTTTGGTTTAGGGTTCAAAGCTAGAAACTCAGCGACGGGTTTGAGAAAGGAGTACAAGGGAAGAGAAAGCTTAATTGAGAAGAGAAAGGAGTGTGAATTTATAATTTTTTCCACGTTTTAATGAAAATGTTAACAAAGGACCATTCGTAGAAATAAATATAATAATTAGGTACCAAATTAGTAATATTTGATATGTAGATCTAAATATGTAAAACGACCTATAACTAGGGACCTTTTATGGAATTTACTCAAAAAAAAACTACGGAGTAATTCATTTGAAAGTTTAGTGTGGAAGAACTGTGGTGATCCTTCCAAAGGCCTACTTTTAAAAAATAAGACCCCTCTTAAAACAAGTTTTAAACGGTAATAATGAAAAAGAGTACTCCTTAAAATAGTTCTTTCTATTATTTCTATTATCCAAACCTAAAATTAATTCTCAAAGTGGTCACTTCTATATATCATATTTTTAGGAGTAATACCTATTGACTAAACATACAACATTAATTTTTAAAAATATGTCAAAATATATTACTCCCTCCGTCCCAAATTAAATTGTCTGTTTACTATTCCCATTGTCAAACTTCATCTACTTTCTTTCTCTATTTTTCGTTAGTCATTTCATAAAATAATATAATCATGTCACCGCTACTTTCGCATATTTTTTGATTAAATTTTTAAATTTGTAATTTTTATTTTTTGAATCCTAAATCATTTTTCATAGTAGATGATTTGAAAATAACTTCAGCTAAACATTGTAAATCAAAACATATGGTTTAAATTGGAACAGAAGGAGTAAAATTTAAATCAAATACATCTATTTAATTAGAAAAATACTTAATCTGAAACGGTCGTTTTCAGAACTTACTCAAAATTTAGATGATAAAACATTTCAAAATACCCCACACTTAAGACTAATTTAGGAAAATGTCTTATTAGAAAGAATTATTTTAGGAATTTATGAATAAAAAAGTCAACGGTAAAAGATTAATGACAATAATATGTCAAATATTTTGATTTATCGATCATTGCAATACCTAACAATGTAAGTACCAAGCATGGACTCCTACTATATACGTAGTATTAAATGTCACGTTTACGATAACTAATTCTTACCCTACCAATTATTCCCTTTGTCCCCAAAACCTAAATTGGCCGACTTACTATTTTGGAAACTTGATAACTTTGGCCCTGTTTGGTAAATGGCGGTTCAGCGGGCATTTGGCATCTTTGACCATAAATGGCTGATTGGACTAGTCAAACTGCCAAATTCATTGTTTGGATAATGGCATTTGGATTTAGCATTTAAAACCGATCTGCCAAAAAATGAAAAGCCAACCATAGGAGCGTTTCATGCAGGAGTTGGCAAATGTTTTCCGTTTCTTACCCTTTAGGCTTCTCTGCAATTTTGTTTTTTACATCTAATTGTTGTAGAACTATCCAAAATTTTTTGACTCCAATTGTTCTTCCAAAAACGAAACACCAACCATGGTGGGGAATTATGCTTCTCTGCAGTTTTATCCCATGGGCCATTCTTGATTTGAGAAAAATTTTAAAACCCTAAATCACCCTTCTTCGTTTCTAAAATTAATTTATTTTTTGTTTTAGTGGTTTTTGACTTTTTCTTCTTTGGAATTAACCTCCTGGGCAATATTCCTCTAATCAAGGATCATACAATTATCTTTTACTTCGTATCTAATTGTTGTAAAACCATAGAAAAAAATAGAATATTTGGTTGTAATTTGTTTGAATGTGTTGGTGCAGATTCTTCATATTTGGTGCAGATTCTTCATATTTGGTTGTAGTTTATTTGAATGTGTTGGGGATAAAGAAACTATAAAGTATAAATGTAAATTTTCATTTCTTAAATTATAAAAAAAATGTAGTAGCCTTTTTTTGTCCAAAAAAAAAGATGTAGGGATGTCGAGAGTATTTGCTTGTATAATGTGCATATTTTATGAAAATTAAAGAAAAATTAAAAATTGCATACAAATTAACATAAATGGAAGGATGTCCTTTTATGTAATTTTACTTACAAACAGCTAACTATAAACAGCTAAAGTCGCCAAACATTTAAAATTTAACAGCTAACAGAAACAGCCGGTCAAAAAAGCTAACTCAATCAGCCATTCAAACCAGCCAACATAAACAGCCAACTGCCAACTGCTAGTACCCAAACAAGGCCTTTGTTTGTGCATGTTTTTTTCATGATCTATTTGATAAAAGGGGAATTTAATTATTTAAATAGTACTAAAACATAGTAATTTGATAAATTTAATACTCCCTCCGTTCCTTTAAACACTTCTACTTTTGCCTTTGAGCAAAAATAAGGAAAGTGTAATTTTGGTTGACTTTCCAATTTTGCCCCTGATGTGATGGGTAAAAGTAAGACGTGATAGTTTGGTTATTAGAGAAAAAGTATAATGTGATATGTAGGGTATGAAAAAGTAAGGGTAAAAGTGATTTTTTAATAGAAAGTGAAAGTGTTTTAGGGAATTCAAAAAAAAAACGAAAGGGGAAGAGTTTTGTGAAACGGAGGGAGTACTAAATTTTTATATTGATATATACATTATAATTTTAGTTTAATTAAACTTTA